GTGAAATGAGGACCCAGACTGTGGGGGCGATATGCTGACTCTGTAAACCGCTTAGAGAGGGCCGAAAGCCCTATGAAGCGGTATATAAGTCTAACGGCTATTGCTATTGCTAAGGAAGGATTGGCAGTGGGGGCTAAGGCCCAGAGAGCGCCAGGAACGGGGTGAAGGACTCCTGCTGTTCTACCATCTTCTGCAGGGAGCAAAGGTGTCCCCTCTGGCTTGTGAAAACGCCCCGGCCTTTTCCCCCAGGGGGCCCTTTTGCCCTGAGAGTCGCCAAGCGGCGTCCAGAGTTTGTCGGCTCTCTGCATGAAAAGAGAGAAACCCTCCTTCATGGTCCGTACCCCACAGAAGGCTCTTGCTCGCCGTGAGTGACCGCTTGCCAGAGGGCCGAAGGTCTTGGGGGCCACCGGCTCGGGCCCCTGGGGGGCTTGCTTGGCCCAGGTGGACGCGGCCGCCCGGCGCAGCTTCCCCGAACCTGGACGCAGTGCCACCCGCGGCATCTCCCGCGCATTTGCCGCCCTCTGCTGGACACGGATGGAAGTGGCCTTTCTCTCCCGGCTGGCTGCGAAGTGAAGCGCATTGCTCGGCGGTCGGTGCCGTGGACTCAGCCGGGAGGCTTCCTCTGCGGGGCTCTCCAGCCTTTCCGCGACCCGAGGGACCCCCGAGGAAGAAGAGAACGTGATTTTCAGAGGGGAGGACGATTTTCATTAACTTGCAAGACGAAGTGATGGGACACCGCGAAGGAAGGAAGGAAGGAAGGAAGGAAGGAAGGAATCCAGATGACATTTGAGCGAGAATCTGACAAACAGTGAAATGAAACAAACACACACCCCGCTTCAAAGGCAGTCTACCTTTGGAGGGCAGGTGACGCTTCCGTCTCCACCTGAGATCGGGCAAGGGCTCCCTACATCCTGGGGCTCCTTAAGTTCTCTTATGCTTCGGCGTTTCAACGCTGTCTATTCTCTCTCGTGAATCCCCTGGCTGGTTTTCAAAGGCGACTTGTGAGTGACTTGTGTAGGGCCGGGATAAATGAGCCCTTCTGGGCCCCCCTTCCACGCGGCCCGGGACGCGCCGGAATTAAGTGAATTCCTCCAGTGCCTCTGAACCCTGAACTCTGATTTCAGAGCCAGTCACTGAAAGGCCCCGCGAATTGAAAGCCTTGGCTGACTGAGAAGGGCAGTCGCGGCGGGAGAGCCAGAGGCTTCCGCGGCCCAAACGTTACTCCTCCGGGACTTTCCTGAGTTGCCCGTCCTTGAGTCAGCCAGCCGGCACTGCCCTGCCTTGCCAGCCTGGACCCGGCGTCCCTTCCAGGCTCCGGGCTTGCTCGGCCAGGAGCAGCTCCGCGTGCCGCAGCTCCCGTTCTCCCGGCGCTTGTCGGAGCCCTGATCGCTGGGCAGAGGCGCTCGGTGGCCACTCAGGCCGGGGGAAGCCACGCGGAGTCGGGGGGGGCTCGTAGGAGGCCGAGTCGGAGGATTGCCTCGGTTTCAGGTTGGGGGAGGCGAGGCGGCGAGTTATGGCTCAGAAGAGGCCCAGAGGCGACTCCCGGGGCTCCCGACGTCTTTCCCCGCAGTGGAGTCTGCGCGACAGGGGAGACCTTCCCCAAAGCGCGCCTGCCCCGTCCGCCACCAGCCCAGGCTGACCGGAGCGGACCCCGGCTCTGTCAAGCCCAGCAAAGCTCCTCCGGAGGTCGGGCGGGGCGTCGGGGCAGAAGCCCCCTTGAGCGGAGGGCTCCGCAGCCAGCACCATGGAGAGCTCCGCCGATCTGGCTGCCCGGGCTCCCTCGAGGGATGCGGGAGGTAGCGGGGCAAAGGGAAGCAGGCTCCCCTCGCCCAGCCCAGCCCAGCCCTGGAGTACAGCCTCCGGTTGGCCTGGTGAGCAGAGGGCGCCCGAGGACATACCAGGAAGGTGGAGGTGATCCCTGTGGGGACTCTGCCTGTGCTGGAGGGAGGCAGCCAAGAGTGCCCCCTCCTGGGAGAAAGGAGATGACCCTTCAAACACGGATCGTTGGTAGCACTGAGCACTTCTCATGAGGCAGGGAGTTCCAGGGGTCAGAGAAGAGAAAGCCCTGGTGCTTTTGCCCCCAGGATGGACAGGGACCTGAAGAGGACATTCCCAGCACTCACACGCCACAGCCACTGCAGCCTCGGCTGTGCTGCTGCTTGCTGATGTCTTACTACTTCCCTTATTTTCAGCTCTTCTTTGCCTCCGCCCCAAATTGACTTTGTGAGAAATGCATCAAACCTGGAAACGGGGTGACCTTTTGGCTAATGGAGCAGATGCCATCAACCACGCTCCTCCCTGAACATCCCATTCCGCCCCCATCCATCACGGCTAATGCGCCTTCTCTTCTCCCCCTTGAATTTTCGGCCAAAGGAATAACTCTTTGGTCTAATTAGGCAAAGTTACACATTCAATTAATACAGTCATTATGCCTTAATGAATGCGGGTGAAGGCAGACAAAGGTTTTGCCAGCAAGGGCCCCATTTCTCCACCCCGACCCCCTCTTCCAGCCACAGGGAGGAGGCTGGGCACAGCCAACCCCCCCCGCCCACTGAGGGCCAGGCCTGCCCTCCTTATTAGGCCCCTCTCTGCCCAGGCCAGGCCAGAGGGAGGGGCCAAGCTACCCAAGGCCGAGGGCAGGAATGCGGCCTCAGTTTCCCCTCTGGCAGCGGCAGCAGTGCCTGGCCCGGAGGCTCAAGGGGGGGAGAGTAGCTGTTTGGCCCTTTTCCCCTGCAGAGTTGTTGTTCCAGGAAGGAAAAGGGGGGAGCAGGCAGGTGATGGGAAAGGCGGCAAGGGGACAAAGGCCGGGCAGTGGCAGGAAGTTTTCTTTCGTTTCCTTTCTCCCTCGTGGCTGGCTTCCTTCTACACCAGTCAGCAACCGGGGACAAAAGGCAACAAACAACATCTGCACTTCTATCAGGAAAAACTGGCAACCAAAGCCCTGCACACACCCCACACACCCCAGAGAAGAGAAGCTCCTGCGAAGGGCAGCAAATGCCCCCCCCTCCTTTCAGGCACTTCGTGTGGGGGAATTCCGGCATCAACAAGATGGGAGTGCAGGAGGACAGAAGGACAGCCGTCAATCACTGGGGGTTGAAATGCAGCTGTGGCAGCCTTTGGGCTGCTGCTTTTGGGGGTCCCACCGGCCCCCACCTGCCAAGGCTTCCTTGGGTCTCTTTGGAATTGCCCCTCCCCCACCCGACAGCCTTGGCCTTGAGCCAACCGGACTGGCCTCCCTGCGCTGGAGCTGGAGCTCTCTGGGCGAACTGGGAGGAAAGGCCGATGGACAGCAGGCTCACGACTGAGCGCCTTTGTTTGTGAAGACAGAGGGAACCGGGACCTGCAGTGAGTCACGAGAAGCTGCTTTGCCTGCCTTCCAAGTGGGGGAAAGTCCCATTTCTGGAGCTGTTTATTTAGCCAAGAAAAATCAATGTTGATCAAAGATGTTACAAAACCATGTTTGTCACAAGGACGTAGAGGGAACATGGCTCCCCCCACTTCCCTGGGTCTAGAATTCAGGTTAGCTGATGAAATCATCAAGATGAGTTTTGGGAACGAAAGGAGGCGAGGCAGTACAGAATTCACTTATGGAACTCCCTGCCACAAGACATGGCAATGGCTAAAGGGAGCGTGCCAACTGCTGGCACAGGATCAGCCTCTTGAAGGCTCCGTGCTTTGGGTCTGGAGAAAAGGGCCTGTTCTCAGCAGAGCATGTGGAGACAGTCTGCACCCCCCCAAGCCAGGTGTGGAACCTACGGCTCAGGCGTGGCTGAAGACGCCTCTTGGCAGCCTCCCCACCAAGGCTTTGCAGCACCAGCCAATCGCCAGCTGGCCTCTGGCAGGTATATAAGGAGAGGCTCCCTTTCGTCACTCTCCTTCTTCCCCTGCAGATTTCAGCTATCAGTTGGTGTCTGTGTGTGTGTGTGTGTGTGTGTGTGTGACTTGTGCAATCAGCAGCTGGCTGGCTTCTCCTGGCAGCAAGTGAGGGGCTGCCCGGCCTTATCTCTGGACTGTTATAAATAGCCTGGCGCATGCCAAGCGGGCAGCACAGGATGGGGTCTCTCGAGCAGTGATCTGGGAAGGCAAAGGGAGGCCCAGAAACCCCCAGGCTGGTTGGGGCGTGGATAGAACCATTGGAGGAAGGAGCCAAAGTTCAAAAAAAAAAAGAACCGAGCGGGACGGACATTTGACTGCCTGTTTCCCAAGTTGGAAGAACAGACGCCAGGATGACACAGAAGGCAGGAAAGAGCCTGAAGGAAAAAGTGGCCCTCAGGAACCGTCTGCTGAAGGAAGCGCTGGCAGAACTCCTGGGGACCTTCATCCTGATTGTAAGTATCGCCTCCCCCTCCCCCTCCCCCCCTCTGTGCAACATTGGTGGCCCCCAAACCAGGCGCAGCGAGGGGGGGGGGCTGGAAATGTTGCTCAGAAACCAAAGAACACAGAAATTCCTGTTGCAGCTTGTCAGGCGGTTTGTGAAGAAGACCCGAGTCTGTTTCTATCCTACGCCTTCGCCCATTGCCCCGATTGCCTTGGGGGGCCTCTGCTACTTGGAGGGCATTCTCTCTGCATCCGAGCTGGTGCCCGGGGCGAGATGTGATCGGGCTTACAAAGCAGAAAGAGAGGAAGGGAAATGCGAAGAAGGGGTGCTGTGCCTAGGCCACTTCTGGCTCTGGCATAAAACCTGATCCCTGCCATGCTGAGGGGGGGGGGCGGCGCTCCATCAGGAACCAACCATGCCCAGCCCCCTGAGTGCCAATGCAGCTCCCTTCATTCCTCCTCGTGTCCCTCGGCAACAGAGGTTAGGTATGCTGGAGGAGAGACACCGGGACCTCCTGAGGGCTTATGGGGCTCTGGTTGAACTGCTCACTAACCAACCATCAGGCGGCAGAAAGCTGGACTGGCATAGACTGGGCTGTTCCCGTGACCGCCCCCTCTCCGGCCCCTGCTCCCAGTCCCTGCCAGGTGGCAAGACCTTGAGTTGCCCTTGGCCAAGGTCGGCCCAAGAGGCAGACGGCGTTGCTCAGGGGTGCAGCTCCCATCCAGTCTGTGCCATGGCTCCGTGAAGACAGGGTCTCCTGGGACCTTGAGTAACCTTCTGCAGAGGTTGCCCAAGACGGGATCCCGAGGCCTCCGTGGGAGAGCTGGAGTTGCACAAGACGTTGCAAAAGGAGCTCCTTGGAATAAAGAACGCTGGTTATTCTAAGCTAATCCTGAGTTTCCTGTTAGGCACAGAGCTCCTGGCTCTGCACATTTCTACATTTCCCTCAACTGCTCCTCAGTTGAACCAGCCACAGCACAGGGGAGCAGCCCTTCCCCCTCTGTCGAGATGCCCATTTCCATTAGGATCTCATCCCAGAACTGGACACAGCCACGAAAGGGTGAAGCTACAGGCTCGGTTCTGACCTTTGTTTGAAGACATTTATTTGCTTTACTAACTTGTGGGAGGCCTTCCCTTTCAGCCCTGCAGTTGGAGGTACAATCATAGCTGCACCCACAACAGGATCAAGGGGGACCAGATCCAAAGTCCAGGTTGTGGAAGTCCCCTTCGGCCCTTGGCAGAGGCTCGCTTCTTCAGAGACCACCATGGAAGAGTCCCGGGGGACCTGGTGGCTCTAACAGGACAGCTGACTTGGCAGCTAAAGGGCATCTCTTGGTGTGGCTTGTCCTCCCAAGCAGCCCCCCCTCCCCTGCCAGCCCTGGGAAGACCCCCCCCCTCTGCTACCTGAAGGCAGACCCTCCTTGTGGAAAGTGCTTTGCAACCTTCCTGCTCGATTCCACCATCAGCTCTCAGCAGGAACCGTCTGGGTCACGAGAAAATATGGAGGGGGGGCTCCTGCCCATTGCAGACCTCGCTCTGCTCAACTGGCACCCAATTCCCAGTCTTGGGCTCTCAAAGGGCCAGAACCTAATTCTGCAGCCTGGTCTCCACGCCTCAAGGTCTTCCGAGCGGCCTCTTTGGGGAGCCGGTTTCCAGGCCAATCATTTCCCGGATGTCTTCTTGGCTCTTTCCAGCACAGGTGACCCCTGATGACCCTAACCCCAAACAGGCACCAGGAGACCCCGGGGGCTGCCAGTCAGTCAAAGGTTAGCCAAGCAGAGGCCGGTTTATTTGCCTTTGCTGCCCCGCCCCCTGTCCAGGAGAGAGAAAAGGGGGGAGGGGAGACATTCTGAGACAGGAAGAGCCCAGGAAGATGGGGCCCGGAGGGGATGGGAGCCTCCTGGGACTGGGGTGAGCAGAAGGCCTCCAGACCCACACCAGCCATGCCGCTGGGCCTTTCCATTGGGGTGGCAGTTGGCTGGCAGAATCTCCCCCCCTACCTGCTGGGCTGGAGGCTTAACGCTGGTTCGATCTGGTGCCCCTTGGATGGAAACTTGATGCCATTGTTTCCCTCCCATTTTTGGTGATTTCACCCTTGGAAGGTTCTGTTTTAACTTGTTGCAGAAGGCAACGTTCCTCTCCGCTCGGTTCCTCCCGCGGACGGGCCTGTGGGTGAGAGCAAAGGCGGATGGCGCATGAGTGGTGGGTGGATGAGGAGCGGACTGAATGCCTCTTTGATTTGATGCCACTTTGCTGACAGCTTAGTGCCCCCAGGGGGAGTTTACTAATCCCCAGTTTTGGAGATTCCACCATTTGGAGGGTTCGGTTTTAACTTGTTTCACAAGACGAATCAAGGCACGAGAGAGAGAGAACGCACCACTGCCATGCCCGAAAGGAAACGGCCCTGCCGATGCCCAGGTGGTGCATCTGCCCAGGAACTCATGGCTTGCCCAACTTGCCAGCTTTCTTCTCGCCTCTCTTGCTTCCTTCTCTCAGTCCAGAGAGAAGCCCGTCCCTCTCAGCAGCGCCTTCTGCCACACCTGTTTGGCTTGGTCTCCCAGTCTCTGCCCTCTGGCCCATTCCAAGGCTGGCTCCGGGTCCAATTAAGGGGGGGATGGGAAGTGCTGGGAAAAAAGCTTGCCAGGGAGTGGCCCAGGGAGAGCTGCAAGAAATCACTTCTCAGCATCAGAAGAGACACAACCCCGAGGCTGCCTTGGCATCGGCTTTTATACAATCCGGGTGGAATGCAGGCACACAACTTTCCTTGGGAAGCCCGGAGGACACCAGGATATTTGCCCAGAAAAGGTGGCTCAGGTCACTGAAAGGAATTACGGCCACCAACACCACGTCCCTTTGAGCCCCACCCCCACCCCCAGAGGACTTGATAATTGCTCAAAAAGTTGGGAGATGAAGTGGGCAGGGTGGAGGGGGGCATATGTGCCTCCCACGTAGCTCCTCTTGCTGATCTCCATCAAGGTCCTCTTCCTGACTCCCTGCAGCTCCAAACCATCCACTTCTCCTGTTAGGCAGAGGGTGGGTTGGGGGCCAGCAGGAGATCACCGTGGCTTCACTAGGAGGAGAACCTTTTCAGCGCCTGCTCTGGCATCCTGGGAAGCTCCGAATTCCATATAAATCTATTAAATTACAATTACAATGTAGGGCTGGGATGATCTCCTGCTTGCTCAACTCCAAATCCTTCCCTTCCCTTGAGGTCCTGCTCCCCAACAGGGCAGAGGGGCCTCCCCCCCTCAAGGCCTCTTGGTCTGCAGGGACCCCAGTGGAGGAGCTGAAGCTCTTCTGGAGGGCCCCAGCGCCTGATCCTGGGTGAGGAGGTGGAGGAAAGAGAAGACTTTGCAGGGGAAGTGCTGCCTTTCAGTCCCAAGGAGCCCACCAGGAAACGGGCCACTATTTTTATAGAGTGAAGCAGGGAAAGGAAAAGAAGGGCTGATTGGTTACCAAATGACATGACAGTCACACATCCACATCCGCCAAAGCCATCCCATAATACATCATAATGGTCTATTAACCAGTTACTCCTCCTCGATTCCCATCTGTTGGCAAACCTTCCCTGCTCCCCCTGAGGGTCCTGCTTGCCTAACCAGAGAGTCCCAGGCGCCTCCGGTCAGCATAGGAGCCCCTTCTCTGCAGGGTTTGGGGGGGGGAGCCCTCTGGCCCTTGCTGGCTGCTGCTAAAAGAAACGCTACTTCTTGCAGGAAAAGACAAGGCTAATCTAGATAAATGCTGCCTGGACAGCGAGATGGGCAGCAAATAAATACGATAAATAGATCGATAAAGTCAATCCATAGCTTGCAAAAAACGCCAGTTGCTTCTTAATAATGAACTAGTTTTACTCTCTCGCACAGCCTCTTCCAAAGGCCCCCAAAGTTCCCTCTCTGCCCCCCTCTGCAGGGACTCAAAGAGGAGAGGTCTCCCCTCATGGAGCGGACTCTCTTCTCGGGAGGGGGGGGTGCACACAGAGGGCCAGGGAAGGGAAGGGCAGGTGGGGGGAACGCTCTGGAGCAAGCCCAGGCGCCCCCATTTCCTCTTTCATGGAGGAAGTTTCCTTTGGAGTCTTTCCTTCTGGAGGTCCTGGCTCTGAAAAGCTTCTCCCTCACACACACACATACACACCCTTCTCAACAAAAGCTGTCAGGCTGATGAAATAGGCACTTTTGAACTTTAGACGCCACGCCCCGTTTTGCCTAATGGCTTTCAAATGATTTAACCCTTGTGACTGATTAAAAGAAAGAATTTAAGTACAATATGGATAAAAAATCCATATTGTCTTTAAATATATGTCCATCCCATAAAACCCCAATGGAACCACTGCGGTGTGCCAGAGAATCTGGACCTTTTGCTCGCAGAACCATTAATCTCCAGCCTTTCTGTTAAACAAAAGAGGTTTTCCATCCAACAAATATTTGTCTGACAGAAACTATGCACAAAAATTATGGCACCTCAGAGCACTAAGCGAAGATATGCAAAAGGTGCTCTATAGTCTTAAAATTCCTTCTCTCCCTCTCCCCTCCCTCCCTCCCTCTCTCTCACACACAATCCATGTTCAGATGATGCCACCTTCATGGCAAGAATCCACCCCTAGGGATGAGGGGCCTGTTTCCCACAGAAAGAAACAGGGGCACCTCTGGTGGACGGGAGATAGAAGAGGTTCCTGACGGACAAGAGTTGTTGTGTTTTGGCCCAGCCACCCAGTTCCTGCGAAGGAAGAGCTCCAGGAGGGCCTTTGCGCCCTCTGGGTGAGCAGGCGAAGGGCCCTCGGAGTGAGAGCTGGGAAGGCCCAACTGCCCGGCTGGTGGGCAGCTCCTGTTCTCACCTGTCTCCTTCTGAAACTACAGGCGCTGGGCTGCAGCTGCGTGGCACAAACCGTCCTGAGCAGGGGGGTCCTGGGAGGAGCACTGACGATCTCCGTTGGCTTCGCCATGGCCGTCACCCTGGCCATCTACGTGGCCGGAGGCGTCTCTGGTAAGCTGATATTTGCCAACCATCGGTTTGGGGAAAGGAGGGATGGGCCGCTGCCCGGTTCTTTCAGCTGGAGCTTCAGCCCCTCGCTCAGGCCAGGCCTTCCTTCCCCCCCCCCCCGAGGGTCCCAAGGGCACCAAAACGTGGGGGTGGTTCCTGCCGGGAGCCCCACCAGCCCTTGGCTAGAAGAACAGCCTTCGGACGTGCTGGTCCCAGCAGGGGGCGGGCGCCAGGCTGGGTCCTAGATTGGGGAAGGCAAGTCGGGCAGACAAATGGGCTCCAGAGGGCACCTCGTGAAGGCTGCGAGGGCCCCCAGGAAAGCCCCCGGTGCAGGGAGCGATTGTCTCTGTGAGCCAAAAGGTCTCGTGGCCCAAATGGAAACAGGGGAGGGGGGGTTTCAAAATCTCTGCCCCGTTTCTTTCCTTGCCTTTTGCAGAGAGAGCTGGAGACAGGAGAGGGGCAGAGCGGGGGGGGGGGGAGGCGCTCAGCTCTCCTGGCCTTGCATGGTTTCCTTATCAGAGAGGAACAGGCCCTGCAAAGGCTCCCCCCACCCCCCCCAGGAAGGCAAGATCTAACTGTGCCTGCAACCCAAGAGGTGTTTGGGGCCGGAGGGGAGGAAGGGGCCCCGAGGGCTCGGTCGGAGGAGCCTCTGCTTGGCTCGGCCTCCTTGGGACTCCAGGCCTTGTGGCAGATGACACTGGATACCCACATTGGGGGGGGGATGCCGGGAACCCTCCCCTGTGATTGGAAGACCGTGGCTGGGCACCTGCGGATCTAGTGATCCTGAACCTGACTGCAGCAGCCCCGGGTCATCCCTCGGCCACGACCCCCGTCTGCCCAAACTGAGCCAGCGGTGACCCCGGAGTGATTTCTGCTAATCTCCTACTCATCCTTCTTGATGCTCTTCCGAAATCAACCATTAACCTTTGGCCAGGGCTTAAGGAAAGGAGAGGAATAATTGGATTCCATAAATAAATAATCAGGCCTTAAAAGAGACAATGGAAATGTCGCCTCTTGAAGCCGAGAGAGCTTCGCATCTCTCAGGTGATGGACACGGATATTCTGGTCAAGCGGGCAGTGGGGAAATTGGGTGGTGGGAGGCCCTTCAGCTTAGACCTCCCCCCTATGAAGACCAAGCTGTCCTGAGGAGTCCTAGAGAGCATCTTGCAAGCATCCACCCACCCCTAGTCCAGCATAGGCTCTGGGACGAGAGCTCTGGGACTGCCCTGCCTGTCCTGGGCTGGGGGCTTAGCTGAGCCCATCTTCCCGGGAAAGCTCCTTCTGACCCAACCCAAGACCATCACCTTGGCAGCCGATGCTGAGCAGCCTTGAGAAGGGATCTGAGGGACCAAGAAGGGGGCATCGGCCAGTCTCTTCCTCTCCTCCTCCTCCTCCTCCCCTAGGTGGTCACATCAATCCAGCCGTCTCCTTCGCCATGTGCCTGACTGGGAAGATGAAGTGGGTCAAATTCCCCATTTATGTCCTGGCACAGTTTCTGGGTGCCTTTCTTGGAGCTGCTGTGGTCTTTGGCATCAACTATGGTGAGTGAGAGCCTCCTTTGCCCCAGCTGGCATTTTACACAGGAACCCCAAAACCCCAAATTAGGTGACTTTTGCCCCAGACGGGCCAGAATTTGTGGCCACATTTGTGCCCTGTTTGGCCATTACGGAAACCCCATGGAGGCCCTGGGGAGCAGAGATCTTCCCGGCCCCCGGGAGCTCCCGCCTGAGAAGCCAGTTTCCCACCCCTGAACTGGCCATGAGCAGCATCCCATTTTGGAGCCGGTCAGGGGCTTCTCCACATCTAAGCAGGGCGTCCGTTCCTGTTTCTCGCGAAACCCGTTCCGAGCGCCCCTCCCTCACGACTCGGCTTTCCTGTGGCAAGGCGGGTTGCCCCTTCCCTCCCCCAAGGCTGCTGCCTGTCGCTTCCTCCGCAGACGCTCTCATCTTCTACACGGATGGCAACTTCACTGTCGGAGGGGCCAACCCCACAGCACACATTTTTGCGACTTATCCTCAGGAATATTTGTCCCTGACCAACGGCTTCGCAGATCAGGTAGGGAGCAGGCAGGCTGCTTGGGAGGGCGTCCCACTTTTCTTCTCTTGGGAGGGGCTGAGACTTACCCTGAGCCCCGGGAAGGGGCAGGACCCAACCTGGGGCTCTCTGAATGCCAACACAAGGCACCTGTGTGGAAAAGGTGGCATCAGGGCCAAGAGAGGCTTCCCATCATCGCCTGAGGGGCCCTGCCTCCTGTCCCATCCCCCCCCCCGCAGCTGCCTTCGAGGGCTGGGGGCAGCCTGGGGTCCATGGGGGGAGAGGTGACCCCCTGGTCTTTCTCTGCTAGATGCTGTCCACGGCCTTTCTTATCCTGGGGGTCTTTGCCATCTTTGACACGGACAACTTGGGGGTCCCGAAGGGGCTGGAGCCCATTGCCGTCGGCCTCCTCATCATACTGCTGACCTGTTCCATGGGCCTGAACAGCGGCTGCGCCATGAACCCCGCCCGAGATCTGAGCCCCCGCCTCTTCACCTACCTGCTGGGCTGGGGGCCTGAAGTCTTCACGTGAGTCCCTTGCCCTGGGGCCCCTGGGCCACCAGCCATTTCCACCCCATCCAGAAGGGCTTCCATGGGGGGGGGGCGTTAAATTGGCCGCCTGTTCCCTCTGCCCTGAGGGGGGCTGTGGGGCTATGCAGGAGGCTCTTGCCCGAGGTCCCCCCATGGGCCTCCGTGGAAGGGGAAGACCTGAGCATGGCCCAGCTGGGCAGGCTGGGGGGGCTCCCCTACAGCTGGGACAAAGTCAGGAAAGAGCAGGGCGGGCGCAGAGTCTCCCGCGGCCTCGTAGGTCCAGCTCGGCCCGGCCTCGCCTCCCCCCGCGGGCCGCTGGGGGGCGCTGCTCTCCGCGGAAGCCGCCCGTTGAGCCAGCGCGTGGCAAGGCTGCCATCTGGCGGCCAATCCCGGCGGCTGTTTTCCAGCAGAGCGACCGCCCAGCGCCTCTCTTTGCTTAGACGTCCGGCGGCCCTTGTCCCATCGGCGGCCCTTTAGCTCTGCCTGCTTAGCCGTTTCCAAATGAAGGAGACTTTGCCGACTGAAGGGCTTAATTCTTCTCCTCGGAAGCCTCAGGAAGAGGGTTGAGGTCGGTGGGTTCTAGGCAGAAACGCGGACCCCAAGGGGTCTGGGGGCTAGTGAGGACTAAGCACCCCCGAGAGCAACTCTCTAAATCCCTGGTAATGAAACCTGCCTATTTCTTTCCCCCCCCACACAGAGCCGGCAATAGCTGGTGGTGGGTTCCCATCGCCGGCCCCATGGTGGGGGCAGCCCTGGGAGCTGCCACCTACATGCTCTTCATCGGGGTCCACCACTTCCCTCCCTCCCCCTGCCAGAAGACGGACGCCCTCCACGAACACGAACTGACCCACCTGGAGGAGGGGAAGTAGGGCCCAACGAAGCTCCCAGTCCGTCCCCCCCAGGACCACAAGAAACGCCCTCCCAGAAGACAGGTGGCAGGAGGCCACCCTCAGGAAAGCTACTTTCCAATCAGAAAACGATTCATTGACATCCTGCAGACCTCTGCTCCACCTTCCCCCCCTCAAGTCTTGAACCTCCCCCCCCCTGCAAACAACAACAAAGGGCGTCTGGGGAAACCCAGGCAGCGCCTCCCCTCCTCCACCCCCAGTGCTGGCCCAGCCCCCCCTTGAGCCTGCCCCCCCCCTTGAGCAGTCGGCAGAGCCACTTCCACACCTGAGTTTGAAAACCAGCTTTGGCTTCAATCTGGGCAGCTGGAGGAGAGCAGCACCCAGAACCAGCTCAGCCTCCTGGGCACCGAGGTTCCCCCAAGGGCGCTGCCCAGAGAATGGGGCTTCCTGAGCTGTTGCCAGCCATGGTTGCTGCCCAGAGAATGGCTGAATCGGGGGGGGGGGGGGGGGGTTGGGGAAAAGCAGGCGGCCTAGTAAAAGGGGCAGGCCCCTCTCCTGCCCCCCCCCCCGCCCCCTGGAAGCCTTCTCCCCAGCCCCAGCCCAGCAGTTGCCAACAAAGCCACAACCTTGACTCGGGTGCGGGAGGACGCATGTTTTGGAGCTCTGCAGGGAAGCCCAAGGGACCCTGGCCAGAGAAGCCCAAGGCAGAGGAGAGGGCAGCTCCCTGAAGTGGGGGTGGGTGGGGGGGGGGGGGAGCAGCAGCAGCAGAGAAATCCGGGGGGGGGGGCTCTGACAGAGAGAAGCCCTGAGGTGGGCTAGTGAAGAGCATAGTTTAGAGGAAATCGTAGTAGAATAATAGGGAGTAGCAATAGTAGCAATTGAGTAGTATGGAGTATAACATAGTGAGTAGTAATGAGTATAAACATTGTCAGGGTATGTTGTAACAGGGAGGACCATAGAAACAGTAGAGAGAAAGCAACAGAATGGAATATAGGAAGTCATGTCACTTTTATTAGTTTGTTTTTACCAAATAAAACCACTTCCCAGCCCTCCCAGACCAGAGACAGACAGGAGCTCCCCCCACTCCAGGCCTTTAGTGTCTCTTGTGGGTCAAGGAATGGGGTAGAATTTAAAAAAGAACCTTCTCTTGCTTATGCTCACGCACACACGCACGCACACACACATAGGCAACGCAGCATTTGTCAGGACCCCCAAAGGAACAGATCCGGAACCCCCAGCCCAGCCCAGCCGCCTCTTTCTCCTCAAGCCGATGGAGCAGCTGTGGCTTCAGCAAAGGTGTTGGACGCTGGATTCGAACTGGCTTCTTCGACTGCCTCCAGCCCCAGGGTGGAATTCTGCCTTGTTCCAGAGGGACATCCGGAGGGACGGTGAATAAAGAGCATCTTCTCCCAATCACAATGCCAATGGGGTCTTCTTGGGAAGAAATGGTCTCCCTAGGAGGGCTCTGGGTCTGCGTTTGTGTGTGTGTGTGTATGTGTGTGCGTGCTAGTGATGCCCCCCAGGGGGGCATCCAAGGAAGAAGCAAGAGGCATTTGCAAGCACAGAGAAATGCCCCCTCTGATCCATTTGTCCAGAAGCCAAGGGGCCCCTCCCTTCTGGTGGTCCCGGTCCACCTCTTGAGGACCCAGTGAGCCAAGCTGGCCAGCGAAGGGAGGGTGCCAATCCACAAAGCCCACTGCCCCCCTCCAGACCCCGGGGAGCCAGGCTCTCTGCCCCTCCTGCCCGCGGGTGGTGTGGACGGTGATGCCGGCCTGTTCAGCCCAGCAGATCCCCTTGGATTGGGCCCCCCGATATCAGAAGGCGGGTCTGGTTCTGTTTGAGAAGTCAAAGGTGTCCCTGGTTCGACTCCCTTGTTTGCTTTGAGTCTTTGCAACAGGGGCGATTGCCCTGAACCCCCCCCCCCATCAAGCTGCCCTTTATCCCTGGGCTCCTCCGTGTCTCTCCAACTGGTCAAGGAAGCCGGTGACGGCTCAGCTGCTGCCCAAATGCCACCCCCCCATTCTAGTTTTAGAGGTAACACAGGTGGACGTACAGGTGAAGATGGAAGGCACCCTTAAAGGTGGGGTCATGAGTCCACGGGGGGGGGGTAGTAGCTGAAGCCAAGCAGTAATGCTGGGAAGGGGGAGCTGGGACTCCTGGGGGCCTGGGGGGATTTCAAGAGGAAGGCCAAAGCGGGTGCAGGAAAAGCATGAGAGACAGGTGGGGGAGGGGAAGCCAGACGAGGGCAAACAGCAGGTGCCAAAGGGCATGTTGACCAACCGGACAGGAGAGGCGCCCAGAGGAGCCGAAGGGCTCCCCTCTCGTGCCCCAACCAGCTCTGAGCCGCTGTGGAGTGGGGGGATGCCAGCCCCACCTTCTCTTGGGTGGGAGAAGGGGGGTGCCATCTCAAAGGCTGCCCTCCCACCTGGCCTTGCACAATATCTCTGGAGAAAAGTCAATGAAAGCATCAGACTTTCTCCCCCCCCCCCTTTCAGGGCTGCTTTCTCCGTCTCACCCGCCCAGGGACGCCCCAGGGACGGGAGGGGGAGGGGGAAGCCTTCTAGGAACCAAACACGGCTTGATTTGATCTGAGAGCCGATTTGTCTAGGGGGGCACAGAGAGAAAGAGACAATTCCATGCAAAAGGTTAATCATTAATGAGCTGCTAGTCCTCACTACTTACTGGCGACAAGAGGGCCCCTTCCGTCCCTCCACCCCTGGGAACCAGCTTGGCCTGGCGTCTGTGGGCAAAGGCGCCATGAGGAGCCGCCTGGCCCTTCCGCTGCTGCTCCTTCTCTGCGTCCTTCTTGCTGAAGGGAAGCCCGAGGGCAGGAGGGGGAAAGGTAAGCAGCGGCCTCTGGGACGGGGCTCATCTCCATCAGCCACGGGGAGGCTGGGCAGAAAGTCAGGCTCAAACAGCCCCCCTCGCCCCCCCCCCAGCTTCCAAGAGGTGCTCCCCATCCAGAGAACAGGAGAGGCCTTGAGGGGGCTGACTCTCCCCCCCACCCACCCAGAGTGGTTGGGAGCAGCAAAGGCTCCTCCGCATGAAGAGGGAGCCTGGCATATTCATCCAGAGGGAGGGAGGGAGATTCCCTCCACCTGGTGGGAGAGGGAGCCTTTTCTCCCGCCCTCCATGGCAGCTGGCAGGAGGGAAGAAGACTTTCACCTGCGTTGGCCTCCTGGATTAGCAGCAGCCCATCCCACCCCCCCACCCCCGAACAGCCCCTTCTCTAGCCTGACTCCCTGGCACCTCCTGAGCCTCCTTCAGAGTCCCTGGTTCCCCGGCTCTTCTTGGCCATCAGCTGCTGCCCCACACTTTGGGGCCTGGATCCTCCCTGCATTTATTCACCAGACCCAGCTAGGAGAAGGCCCAGCCGAGCCTCCGATTCCATTCTTCTCCTTGGGAGGAATCTCTTGCTCCCCTCCCAGATCTTGGGGGTGAGGAACGGTAATCCAGGTCCCCCCAAACAGGGAGCAGAGACAGACTCTCTCTCTGCTTAGCCCAGATGGCCCCACATCCTTCTCAATCCCCCAAGGCTGTTTGGGGCAGTCCGGCACAAGGTTTCCTCCTTCCCCAGCGCCAAGAATGGGAATCTCCTTTGCCAGCAGCCACTGGAAGCCACCCGGGACCCCCGAGCCCAGACCGGCCAGTCCTGGGCAGCGAAGGGCTCCCCAGCCCTTCATGAGGACTTTGGACACCGGCCCGGCAGGCGGCTTTTATCTCCGGACACGAAGGAGTTGCGGTGTTTGCTTAGCAGCCGCCCTGAGGATGTTGATTTGGGCTCCCTTTCAGGCAGGGATTTGGAGGGGGGCAGCTTTGCCTGCGGCCGGAAGGATTAAGAAGCAAACTTTTTTTAAATTTTATTTTGGGTGCAAAATAAAAGATAGCAATACTGCAGGACTAGTTGGAAATTTAAACCGAGGCTGGGGCTGGAGGAAAATTAATTTCCCCCCTTCATCATTTCTGCAAATGAGAATATTTCAAATCAAAGAAAAAGAACCGGCCCTCTTTGTCAGGGCTTTGAAAGCAAGCAGACCCACCGGCACCCACTGATTAAACAAACCCTCCGTCTCTCCATTTCCAGCCTGGGCCGAGGGGAGATTTGGTGCTGGGGTTCCAAAAGGCTGATATTGGGGTGGTTGTGGCAAAGATGCGGGAAGCCCTGGCAGGATTTCTTCAAGGGCCCCCGCTGCTGAGGGCATTCTGAGCAGCTGAGTTGTGCCAGCCTCCCCCCCCCCTCACGCAGGGCACCGTCTTCCTGCAGGGCCTCCGTGCCTCAAGAGAGCCCCACGTTTCCTGCCTTGGCTGGAGAGCATCTAGGTCTGTTTTCAAGCTGCAGGTCCTGGGTGGAGCCTTCCAGGAAGCTAGCAGAGGAAGAAGACGGTGGTTCTGGGTGGCAAAGGCAATTAGTATATCAAGCCCCTTCATGTGCCCTCCAGACCAATCTGATTAAACAAAGGGTCTTTGATATGATTTTTCCAAGCCAGCCCTTTGAGGCCCTAAGTGAAAACGATCTCCCTTGGGGGCAGATGTTGGGAGCAGATGTTTGCTGTGAGCTTTGAAGGACAATCGGCTGCCCTGAGAGAGGAGGATACGGCCCAACCTGCTATTTCCCTCTTTCCTTTCAGTCTCCATTTATTACAAATCCCTCAGATAAGAAATAGAGGCCAGAGGTGTGTGAAATATTTGCCTTGGTTAATTATGAATGGGACAATTTAATTTCTTCCTGAGTCTTCAGGCTTTGCATTCAATTATCCTGGACCTACAAATAAAAAATGCGTGGGAAGAATTCGCCCTAGTTAATTATGAATAAAGGGATTTTAAACACAATGCAAAAGCCACAAACATTTGATGAATAAATAAACACAGCCTGCACCCTTCCTGAATTAACAAATTGCAGAGAGCAGAAACAGCTTCTTGGCTTCTGGCTGCAGTGGAGACGGTGGTCCTTGCTGGCTGGGGGTGGAGCAGGAGGCTCAGAATTGGGGACAGAACCCCAGATTCCTGCCCCCCCCATCCTGAGTTCTGCTGGCCTAATCCCAGGGGAAGGGCTGGGGAGAAACTGGGCTTGGTTGGCACAGCAATGGCATTGTCCTGGGAGGTGAATCTCCTTGGCTTGGGCTTAGCCTGCTGGAGGAAGAGCCACGGCAGGACTGGGCAGCTGTGGAGCTAAGAACCGAGCCAGAGGTAAGTCGTGAAGGGGTTGCCCAAATCCAGCAGCCAGTCAACGAGGGGCA